GTCCCCTCGGGAGCTCAAAGCCTGAGCGCACCCACAAGAGTAGATCTGGGGGAACCGACATGTCTTTACAGCCCCTGCTCACAGACCCGAAAGCTTGGAGGACACCCACTCCGCACCCGGTTCGGGTTCGGGTTCGGGGAGCCTTGGGCGGAGCACAGGCCTCCAAGTCCTCACTGTGAGGAGGGGCGCCTGCCTCTGGTGTGTCTCCTCCTCCTCCTCCTGCCATGGTGCCAGAGCTATGGCTGTGAAGCCCTTACCCAAGGGCACAGTGCACTGGCACACACAGGCGCTTACCAAACGTCCCAGTGCAGAGAGGTCAAGTTTGGCCTGTGGCTGAGAAAGCTTCCTTACAAAATGTGAAAATACACTTCATCAGTGGTACTGGGGATTGAACGCATGGCCTTCACACAGGCTACCCCCCCAGACCTTTCGCATTTTGAGACAGGGTCCCACTAAATCACTATTGCCCAGGCTGGGTTTGAACCTGCCATCTTCCTGCCTCAGCCTCCTGGAGTTGCTGGGATTAGAGGTTTGCACCACTTAGGCTGGTTTAGATTTGTTGTTTAGAGCAGTTTAAGTTCACAGCAAAATCAAGCAGACAGTGGAGACCACCCATGCATCCGATCCTTCCACCCATGGCCCGGGGCAGGGTCAACATCTCACAGGGACGTCTGTGACAACCAGGCGCCTGCAGGTTTGTCCTCATCACCGAAGGCATGGGCTGCACTGGGGCTACTGCTGTTCTGGACAAACTCGCAGTGACCTGTGTGACAGTCTCTGTCCTCTGACCTCCTCCCCCTGCTCGTCCTCTGAGCCCCGGGCGATGGACTGACTGACTGACTGAAGGTCCTTCTGCTCGCTCCTTTGTCTTTCCCAGAAGGTAGTGCCTGGCAGCTGCTTCAGGCTGGCGCCTTCCTCCTAGCGATCTGAAGGGAAGTTCGCTCATCTGCTCATGGCCTAGTGGCTCCCTTCTTCTAAGCTCGGAGCAGCATCTCAGGAGAGCGTGCTCCGCCCTGCATAGAATGAAAAGTGCCCTCCAGAGCTGGGATGTGCAGACCCGCAGCAGCTGAGCGCTATTCCTGAGCTCTCTGTTCCGGAAGAGGCATGGGAGGTGACAGCTTCGCTTAATGACCATGGCCTGAGAGCCATGCCCACAGGTGCCTGGGGGGCTCAGCCTGGGCTCCTGTGGTTAAGCAGCCTGGGAGAGGCTGTGTCCTTTGGTCCCACCACGCCTGCTCAGCTTCTGGAGGAGGAGCTCGCTGGGTCTCAGCAACACTGCCCTGCAACTATAGAAAGGGCTAATGTACTGCACTTGCACCTGAATTATCCTCATACACCCTCAGACACACCCCAGCCAGGGCAGACAAGGAAGGTGCTGAGGAAACGCAAAACGCGGTGCGCATGCTGTGCTTTGCACGAGCCTGGCAGCCGGTCCACGCGTGCTTCCGTGCAGGCTCAGCCACCGAACCTGGCTATGCTTCAGAGGACAAAGGCCGAGTCCTGCTAACTGGGAATGCAGTGAGCGCCGGGGAGGGCACGAGCGCCACCTGGTGACCACACTGTGTGTGCCCAGGCGCCTGGGGACGCCAGCTGCCCAGGGCAGGGCCCAGGGGAACACGACAGTGAGAGTCACCTCCTATGAGGCCTGCATGGTGGGTTTCACCAAGACTGTCCCTCTAATCCCGTCTGCTGCAGGCTAGAGTCACAGCTCAGTGTCACCGTGAATTAAGTGGGAGAAGGCGGCAGGCCATTTATCTCAAAGCCTGATGAAGCCTTTCGCTGACAGTTTCTGAAAATAAATGACTAGAAGTCCTGTGTGTTTTCATGACCTTCCCAAGTTCAGCTCGGGCCTTTGTTCTCCTAACTCTCACTCAGATTAATGGCGTTATTTCCCGACTGCTGGAGAAAACACAGATCTCCCAACCCGCAGGTCGTGCAAGCATGGAAAGCCGGGTCTGAGGCTCACTCACTTCGATGCTGTGGTGGGAAACAAACAGCTCTGGGCGCTCCTCCGCGCCGACCCCCGCCCGGGGTGGAGAGGGCAGGGCTTTCCTCCTGTGGGAGCTGTGTCTGTGCTGCAAGAGAACTGTTTTACCCCTCGCTCTGTGAACCTGGTGTCCTGGGCTGGGGCTGTGTGTCCATCCCTCAAGATGCTGCAGATGGACCTTGTCCCTTTGGGCTCCGCGAGGTCCCGCCACAGGTGGGCTTCACATGACGCCATGGTGCCGAAGCTGTGACTGTAAAACCCTCAGCCAAGCCAAGTTAGAGACCAGACGTGCGGTGCTTTGCACTGGAGCACGGTGGGCGGGGCCGTAGGTAGAACAGGTGGGCGGGGCCGTAGGTAGAACAGGTGGGCGGGGCACGTAGGTAGAACAGGGCAGGGCGAGGCCCCCTTCTTCCTGGCCTGCCTTGGTGCACTGGATGGACACCGATCACACAAGACAGCTCCGCCTCTGCCTTCCCTGGATCAGGGCGGCTCCGCAGGGGGCTGGGCAGCAAGAGCACAAAGACCCTGCCCCTGGGGCCCACAGCGCACATCCACGGCCCAGCAGTCACTCATTTGTGACCCTAGACTCAGCTGGAAAACCCCTCGGAAGAGAACCCGGCTCATTTCCTGCTGGCCCTTCCTGGCGCTCCTTGCCCCCGGCAGACAGGGCCACGCGCATTTCCTCAGGGCCAGGCACGCTCCAGGCACGAGGACAGGAAATGAATCTTGGTTTTTTAATCTAATGTTTCATTTTTCAAAGGAAGTGAAAGATAGAATGTCATTTTTACATCCAGACTCTGAGGGTCCAGATGATCACTTTAACCATCCTTGGTCGGCTCCTTCTTTTCCTTCCTCTCCTCCCTCCCTTCCTTCCCCACTTCTCCTTCTTCCCCTCTCTCCCCACTTTTTTGTGGTGTTGGGGTTTGAACCTAGGGCTGTAACACTGAGCTACATTCCCCCCTTTTTACATTTTGAGATAGGGTCTTGCCCACCCACTAAGTCATCCAGCTGCGCTTGAACTTGTCATCCTCCTGCCTCAGCCTCCCAGAGTGCTGTGATGACAGGCGTGCACCACCATGCCGGGTGGTTGGTTGTCTCCGTTTCCTTGTTTCTCTGTGTTCTCCTAGTTTCAGTCGAAAGGGCTCACTAAGAACAAAAATCCATACTGTTTATTCTGTTTCCGGCCTCATCTTCCCCTGGCCTTGCCAAAGTGTAAACAAACTGGAAACCCCCGGTGGGCTGAAAACCTGCCTGTGTTACTCCAGCTGGAAAGAATTGTGCTCCACCAAGACTGAGACCTCGTCCAGTGGAAACCCTGACGGCAATGCTGTAATTATAGTCCTGCCATCACTCACGTATCTGTGTGGACTTTTCCATGGTATTTTCCATGGGAGAGTTAGTTCCTCCTGAGAGATGTTAACTCAAATTCTGGGCTACAGCTGTCACTGCAGAGCCAGCAGCGGTGGGGCTCAGGGTGAGCGGCTGTGTTGACTCTGGGGTTCAGAAGTAGCCAGGGGCCACCAGTCAAGGTGATTTGGGCGAGATTCACAGGGTTAGCGGCCTGGGTTGTGTGGTGCCAGAGCTGACTTCTGTGAACTTGAATCATCTCCCATTTTACCCAGCGGCTGTTTTCTTTCTTCTCCGACCCAGCGGCTGCACTGAGGCAGAACAGGCCTGACCTGCTTGGGTGACCACCATCCCGACTAGCTCCCAGCTACGCCATCTGTGCTCCCAAATCTCCCACTCCAGGGCCGGGACAGTGCGTTTCCTCACATAGAATGGAAAATAGAATCAAAATTGAGGCTGCAGAATAACAGCCCACTTTAAAGAGCAAACCAGTGTGAGTTTTAAAGTAGAATCCTTTCAGGGTGCTTAAAAACCCTGAGAACAGTCAGCGTTCGGTCCTAGAAGGGGTTCAGGAAAGGACTCAGGTGGGTTTTAGCATCTCAAGCTTGAGAACCAGAGGCTCAAGGCACGGGGTGCCTGCCTGCTGTGGCTAGCTGATTGTCCTGGGAAGCCATGGGCCAGCCCCACCTCCTCACAGTACCGGGGCGGCCCTGCCCTCCCGGCGTCTGAGGCACAGGCAGAGGGGAGGTTTCCGGGTGTGTCTGGGGAGGCTTCAACCACCTCCTTCCCCAAGCCTGCTGGAGTAGCCTGGGCCACAACCACTGCTCTCCATAGCAAATGCCGCCCACACAGGAAAGGACGGTGGAGGCCGATTTGGGGAGCAGGACTTCCTGGGTCTCCCAACAGCTCTCAGATTGTTCTCTTTGCCTTCCCAAGTGTTGTGGAATCTGCTGATTTTCAGGAGTTGCTGAGTGGGCAGGAATACGGAATCTAACCTGGGCAAAGATCGGAGGTGCAAGAGCCAGAACCTGAGTTCACCACCCCCATCCCCACCCCGGCAAGAGAAAAGGCACGTCAGGCCTGTGTGACTCAGAGAAGCAGGTCCTTGGATGCAAGAATGTTCACCCTACTTTTGGACTTTCATGTGCTAAGCCTTCAGGTGTGTGTGCACAGGAGTGGTCCAAATTTAAGGTAAACATTTAAATTTTAAGAAGTTATTACAGTAAAAGGTGTAATGCCATTGATCTGCCTAAAATCCTCCCGCTGCTTTGAACATACTTATCCCACTGTTCTTGCCACTTTCTGAAGCAGTTCTGGAAGTCCTGTCTTTGAGTCTGATCAAAATATGGCGAAGGCTGCCACCCAGCGCCATCTAGCGGAAAGGCAAGCTTGTTAAAAAAAGGACTGTGGGTGTGTCCTCATCCCTGGATCTGGATCCGGCTTTTCCCAAGAGTCAAAATAACATGAAAAGTTTACGAGGCCACTGAGGCAGCAGGGCCAGTGCCAGCAAGTGAACTCACAAGAGAAGATGTCCAGACCTGCTCCAGAGAGCGGCAGGATAATGGGATAAGCGTGCTCCCTGTCAGGGGGCCTTGCGAGGGGAACTGTGGCAATGTGTCTTCTGTGATACATTAAAAAAACATCAACACACACTGTATTTTTCTTTATCACATCTCTGTTTCTTGATTTATTACCTTAGAGCCTTGGTACCTGACTTAACTCTTCCTGCTGAGGTAAATTCCGGGACATGTAATGCCAGTGAAGCGAAGCTCAGACCTGGGTAGCATCATTCCAGCTCCATCTTTCTGGAAGGAGCACGGTCCCCCCTGCAGCAGGGTGCCATGCCCGTATTTCCCACCTCCCCCGAAGAGGACACGCCTGGCCTGGCCGCTGCTCCGGGATCCTGAGGGTGAGTGGATGTGACCACGAGCTGCTCCCTGAAGATGACCACTGCAGCCAGAGTCATGCAGTGCTCTTCCTTGCCACAGAAGCTGTGCGCGCGCAGGGCCGCAGGGCCACCTTTAAGGATGAGCAGGAGCCAACCCGGCACCCCTTGGTTCCCTGAGTCTTCGTCTGCTTGCGCAGGGGCGGAGGGCGTGGCTCCCCACTTGGCCTCCCTGGCTCCTAGGGGAGGGGCCCATGCCACGCCCTCAATAGACCTGCACTGTGGAAAGATGCTGCCCTGTGCAGCGCGGGACACGGTGAGGTGCATCGCGTGGTTTATTGTCATGTGCGTGCGCAGTGAGGGGGTGGTGGAGCAGACGCACCCTGACCCACGTGGAGTTGAGGCCATGCGTCCCGTGTGCCTTGGCCCCGGCATCTCGGCTGTGGACAGTTTTCCCCTAGGCTCCCGCCTCGCCCTGTGCTGGGCAGTGGGCACTGCTGTTACAGCCTGGGTGACAGCTTCTGCATCCTCCAGCTTCGTGTGTGTGTGTGTGTGTGTGTGTGTGTGTGTGTGTGTGTGTGTGTGTGGCGGGGGGCCTTGGAGGCACTTGGAGGATGGGACGCAGGGGGCAACTGCTTCTACCAGGACCCTGTCCCAAAAGACACTCAGAAGCCTTGCCCTGCAGCCATCCGGAAGCCCCAGAGGTGGATTCTGCTCAGGTGCTTGCAGCTCGCGGCCACAGCATCCACCCTCGTTTCCTGCAGGTCCACAGCGGCGGGTTTTCCTTCTTCTGGTGCACACAGCAGTGACGGGAACACGCGTGCAGTCCAGCATGCAGCTCCCGGGGACGAGGTGCTCTTCAGGGAGGACAGGCCCTGCAGGGCCTGGGACACTCAGGGGCCCAGAGCAGGACGGCAGGGCATGCCTGGGTCCCCGAGGGCAGCAGGCAGGTCTTCCTGGGAGGAGACGGGCTGGAGGCCCAGCAGCGGGTCCTGGCGGGGACCTCACGGTCGTCACTGGCTTCTTGGTGCAGCTCTGCGCCGTGAATAGCACTCAGGCGGCACCCGGGATGCACTGCCAGTGTCTGCTGCCGAGTCTTCTCTGACAATCGCGCACGCGTGCTCTGGCGCGGAAGCGAAGCCATCTGTGAGCCTGAGCAGCAGGGTCGCGCGCCACTGCCTGTGTGCGGGCCCCGTCCCGAATTGAAGCTCCGTCAGCCAGCGACTGTGAAGGAAGAGGGCGCCCAGCTTCTGGGCCTCTGGACGAGACAGCGAATTCCCCCCAGTCTGCCCCTGCCTGGCCTCGGCGCAGGCTCTGCTCTCCGACTCTGAGCTCAGGACTGAGGCTCCCGGCCAGGGACGGAGGGGAGGCCGGGGACAGGAGGACGTGCGTCCACGTCTCTCCCACGGCCAGCGAGGCCTGGGCCGGAAGAGGAACAAGTGCCGCAGCAAACTGCCAGTGCCTTGCTTCCGTTCACGAACTCCGCGTGGTTACTGCCAATCGCCCATCAGCTGCTCTGCCCGGCTCATGCAGCTGGCGGGGAGGGTGCTGGCGGTCAGCGGGGTCAGGGCAGAAACATGAGGCCGAGCTCCGACCCGGCCTCGTCCGCAGGATCCGGAGGCCACCCTGGCCCTGGGCTGTGGGGGTTGCACCGTCCGCCCCAACTCCAAACCACGGCGGCCTCCCGGAGCCTTCCCTCCGTGGGGGACGCCTGCACTTCTGGAACCAGCTACACACGGAGGCTGCGAGAAGCGAGAACAGCTCCCCTAAAGGGACAGCTTTCCGGAAGTGGTAGGAGGCAGCAGCCCCGGGGAAAGGGCCGTCTTCTCGCCGGGAACGCTGGAGTCAGGGATGGCACCTCGCGGGGGTGCAGGAAGGGGTGAGGCTCGGACACGGGAGCGAACAGCTGCGTGTTTAGCAGAAAAATGCCAGCCTGGCTCTGTGGGGGAGAGGCGGGGGTCTCACGACGGTGCCTGCATTTGAGGTCACGGAGATCGAAGCGGGTTCTCATCTACTCCCAGACAGGGTTTGCTCTACGACCTGTGAGGTTCCAAACGAATGCAGGTAGGACACCCCGGAGAGACGAGCAGCCACATTGTCACAGAAAGAATCCGGGACAACATGGGGCACTGCCGCCCACCTCTGCGTTCCCTGAGGCCCACAAAATGAGGGGGAAGTGCCCTGGGACCGCGGGCTTGCGCTCCACTGCCCGTGCTTGCGCGCATGCGAGGGTTACAGGACATACAGGAACTGCCCAGTCCTGCTCCCTTAGCTTCTGGGTGAGTGGAGGAGGGCCCTGGCGGAAGTGACAGGGTGGACGCCGTGGCCGGCGGGCTGTCCATCCCTCACCGTGGCTGTGGTCAGACGAGGAAGCTGGCCTCCTGCTGCCGCCCGCCTCCGTGGCTGCAGGCCTGTGGGCTCGGCTCCGACTTCGGGGTGGAGGTCAAGCAGGGCTGTTCTGCGGGACTCAGGCTGCGCCTCCGCAGGGACACGCGCACGTCCACAGGAGCGGGGTGGCTTGGGTCCTTGGCGGGCTCCTGCCACTCCTCCCCGTCCTGGCGACCCGGGGCTGTGCCCTGGAGGCCCACGCTGGGGCAGAAGCATCTGCCTGGGCCCCGGCCGAGGATGGGGCTGATGTCCGCCATGCTGCAGGGAAAGGGCTTGGCAGCTGGCCGGGGCGAGGCCGACTGGGCGGGACTACCTCTCTGCGGTCCCCTCCCAGAGCGGGACGCCCGGGGACTCGGGGTGCTGCCCTCCTGAGGCGAGGACGCGGCCTCTTGTGTGGTGGCACTGAAGTACAGGGTCGTGCTCTGCTGTCCCTCCCTCCCTCCTGGCTGCCCACCTGCACCCCTCTGCTGAGTGCCAGGACCCACCTCGGGCCCCTCCCCTGGGTTACCCTCTCCCTGCCATGCTGGGGACCCCTGGGCAGGTGCACTGTCCCGGTGGTTGCTGGCAAAAGAGACGTAGCTTGAGGTTTCCAGCGAGTCCGCCTCTGCTTTGGGGGCACCCTGCAACTCGGGTCCTTCCTGAGAGGCTGAAGCGTCTTGGGGAGGGGAGGGGGGTGCTTGCTGAACCTTGCAGAGCAGGACTGACCCCCACGCAGGGGGAGAGCAGCGAGGACCACTTTCTCCGAAGGCGGCGTGGAGCTTAGACATGTTTCCGGTTTTCAGGGCAAGTTTTACCAGCAGCCAATGGTGGTGACTGAGAAAAGAGACGTCCCCTGGACTCTGGCCCCCATGCCATGGCCCCGGGGAGCCCTGCTCTGGGCTGGGGGGCTTCTGCAGACTTGACAGCTCATAGCTCTCTGCTAGGCACGAGCCTGTGCTCGCGGGCCCCTCCACGGCTGGAGACTCCCCCTCTGCCAGGCCGCAGCACTTTGTCACGAAGTCCTGCCGGATGCCTGGGGACTCTGGGTGAAGCAGGCTGTAGTAAATGACCAGTGAGACGCTGCCTAGGAAAGAAAGAGCGCAGGTTACGCTTGTGGAAGCCTGGACCCCTCGCGGTCTGCAGGTACAGGGTCTGGCCATTTTGAGAACAATGTAATTTGGCTCCAAAGTAAGATTCCTTACTTTTTTTTTTTTTCCGGTACCGGGAATGGAACTCATGACCTCGCACTTGCCAGGCAGGCGCTGTGCCACTGAGCTAAATCCTCAGCCCCAAGATTCCTTACTTTTAGCTGGGTATGGTGGTTTATGCCTCTAATCCCAGCACTCAGGAGGCTGAGGCAGGGGTATTGCTGGGAATTTGAGGCCAGCCTGGCCAAAAAAATGAGTTCAAGACCAACCTACACTACCCTGTCTCAAAATAAAAGGATGCTTTTGGGATGTCACAGCAGGATGTCTGGAGAGGAATTTAAGTAGACCCCAGGTCCTATAAGCAGCAAACACACGTGTCTGAGTAACAAAGTGAACTCCTATTGATCCTACGCCTTCTGATGCTGTGTGTGCGCATGTGCATGTGTGCACGCGTGTACATGCATGTGTGCACGCGTGTACATGCATGTGTGCATGAGGTTTTCAACAGAAACTGCATTCTACTTTCTGTATTTCAGGTCAGACGCTCTAAACCCCACATCTGCTCCCCGCTGATGGAGTCAAAGCTGGGAGGGCAGAGGTGAGACAGGCTCCAAAACACGGGGAGTGAAGCGGTGGGCCGTGCGCCGCGCTCCTCAGAGCCCACATCAAGGACTTTCCACAGGCAGCAGCCGCACTTCCTTTGTGCATAAACATCTTAATCACATTGTTGTCAGGCGTCTGTGTTGATCAGAAGTGTTGCACAGTAATCTCTTTAGCAGGTTCCAGTAAGCCACCCCCGCAGTTTCCAGCTTCCTGTTGCATGCGGAAGTGCTGGGTGCAGGGTGCTCGGACAAACACCTCGGGGCAGAAAACCCAGCTGGGGAGAAGTGAGAGGCGCCAGGAGGCGGCAGCGGAGGGAGAGGAGCAGCCCAGACCCCCAGGCCCCGTCCCGCACACGGTGGGGACAAAGGCAGGGCAGGCCGCAGGTCAGCAGCAGGGCTGGAGCTGGGGACAGGGCGAGTCCCGGCACCGGGTGCGACCTAGGCCGCAGGCACTGTGCAGTTTCCACCTGCCACTCGGGTTGTCACAGGCCCTGGGCAGCGGGTACAGTCACCCTCCCAAGTGAGCTGCCCACGCCCAGCATGGTGACCCAAGGAGCCTACCACGCGGCTGATAAGTCCCACGCACAGCCCTCAGGGAGGGCCCCGCCTCGGGCCAGGCCGGCTCCCGGGCCCCATGTATCACGCGGCCGGGGCTGGGAAACGGGGAGAGGGGACCTTGGCGGTGAGCCAGAGCTGCCTCTAAACAGCACGCCTGACTTTCTCAGTGCGATTTGCTTGGGAGCGCACTCCTAAGGCAACTTAATTTTCAGTCATGCCCGGGCTTAAGGACCAGTCCCAGATTCCTCCTGGGTTGTCGTGTGCCTCCAGGAGCCCCGCTGGGCTCCGCCCGACTCCCTCTGCAGGCGGGGGCGGAACAACGTGTCCTGGGACCCGAGCACCACCGCGGTGCTCGCAGACGCAGGCTGGCTCCCAGCAGCCTTCATCCGCTCCCACACCCCCCACCCAGCACAGCTGGGCAAGGGCCAGGGCACCAGAGCGCGGCTGGCTGTGCCTGGGAACCACGCTGCTGCCGCAGCGCTCACTGGTGCGGACGCAGCGGCTCAGACGCCGCGGGGACGCTGCGGTACAAAGGGCTCTGCAGCGGCCCCTCAGCGGCAGAGGGCGTCGCCGTGGCGCCCTCTCCCCCGAATGGGCTCAGCCTGCCTGAGAGCTACACGCAGGGTGGAGGAGGCCCAGAGGCTCCAGTGAGTCTTCGTTCTCGAGGTGCCACCATCACAGAGCTGGAGGTCGGGCGGGGCCGCAGCGGCTGGGCACGCGGAGGGCGGGAGGGGCCGCGAGGGCGGGATGGGACCCAGGCTCCACTGCGCCGTGGCTGGCTGGTCCGCTCCTGGCGTGGTGCTGTTCTAGTCTTGGGAGCTGTTGGCACTGCGGAGGCGGAGCGGCGGGTGCAGGGGGCGCTCCGTTCCTGGAGCCACAGCCATCTCACAGGAAAGAGCTCACTGCGAGAAGGAAGGGTTCGGCTTGGCCACCGCTGGGACGGCGAAGGAGGGCGCTGACAGTGCAGGAGGTCCGGGGCTCTCGAGTATCAGTCGCAGGCCACGGTCTGCGCGTCCCCTGCCCCTCTGAAAGCCCCGCATCTCCAGAGCCTGGGGTCCAGGTGGGTCCTCTGTGTACCTCCCACCCCGGCGCTGTGAACACAGAAGGACCCAGGCCCCGACATGCGCCTCTGGGTGAGGCCCAGGGTGTCCAGTGGCCAAGGAAAGGCGGGGCCTGGGCAGGAGCTCAGGGCTCAGGGGGGCTGCAGACACCTGTGGTGCTCCATGCTGATTCCGCATGGGATGAGCCGGTGGCCACCAGGATAGCTCCTCTGCAGGTCCGGGAGGTGGGTGGCGTGAGTCTGTGGTGTGGGGCGGGACGGCTGGCCCGGGGCTTCAGGTGTAGGAGGGACCCTGCTGAGCTCACAGGGCCCGGGAGGCTGCACCACTGTGGCATGGTATGGTCCACAGACCTCACCTGTCCTGTAAATGCGTGTGGATGGGCTAGCTGAGTGTGCCGCAGCCCTGCCACCTACTGAGCGTCCGACCTTGGACGGAGCGGCTGGCTCAGCCTCACTGGAGGTTCTGCAGTGCAGCCGGCCGTGCGGCCGGCCGGGCTCAGTCCCCCGGCCCTGGGAGGACACCTTCCCCAGCAGCACACAACGCACCCCCAGGCCCTCCTGAGCTCAGCTGCCCCGACGTCAAATCACTGTGAAACAAGTTGGGGAGGAGGCCTGGAGAGGAAGGCACGTTGGGTCTTACCAATCAGAAATCCAGACAGCACCCCTGCGACGGTGCACAGTCCGCTCCACGACGCCCCCTGGGAAAAGTCCGTGGCCAACAGCAGAAGGATGACGTTTTCCAGCAGCATGACCTGCGGGGCCCGGGAGAGACACCGCACGGCTCAGGGGCTGCAGCCGGAGCTCCGTCCTGGTCTGCAGCATCTGCCCCTGCCTTTCGTGGCTACTAAGGCTTCCTGGGAGCAGGGCCACTGCCGGCCCCCAGACCTCTGCACGGGGGCATTTCCCTGGCGCGGCTCCTCAGAGCGCAGGCAGTGGCCCCAGCGCACAGGAAGTGCACCTGCCCCAGTGGCTGTGCGGCTCCGCTTGGAGACCAGGCTGGGCTGTGCGCAGACCGAGCTGTCCTCACTCTCCGGGGAGTGCAGGCGAGCACCGTCATCGCTGCAGCCCAGTGATCAAAGCGATCTAGGAGCTCAGGCGCCCCTGAACCCCAGGAAGCCAGGCTCACAGACTTCCACGCACAGTTAGAATTTTTGCCTTTAAATATTTGCCTCTTTAAACGTGTTCGTGACGCCCACGTGGCAGCAGGGAAGGCGATCTCGAGGGGCCGACCACGGGGGCCCCCGCAGTTGGTCCGAAGTGGGGGTCCTGAGAGCCCATCTGCTGAGACCCTGCTCCGCCATCCAGGCGGCCTTATTCACTTGGCTTCCAGTTTTAAGCACTAAAGTTTACCTTGTGTTAAACTAGGTGAACACACAGGACATGATTTGAAGACTAGACAGGTGATTCTCGACTTGCGATGACCTTACCTTCCCCGTACAGACACTGAAAACTGAAAACATTGTCCAGTTGAAAGTGAGTTTACTACACTCACCTCCTGGACATCGAGGCTTGGCCGTGCTTACCCTGAACGCGCTCAGCACACTTAGCCACCGACAGCCCACTTTGTAAGAAAGTGCTGAATGCCTCATGTAATTCTCTGAATACTGTATTGAAAATGAAATCCAGAAAAGCTTGTATACTTCGTACCATCATGAAGGTGAAAATCATAATGTAGATATCGTGTAGGAGACCAAAAAACCCCTTAAATTAGAATACTGATGTGCTAAAAGTCTCCCAAAGTCTTGCTGTGGCAATTCATTAGCAGCATCTAAGTCTAGAAAATTCAAACAAGGAAGAATTAGAAACCTTACTAGGACCCATTATTTTCAAGATCTAGCAAGGGACAGGAAGTCCCAGCATAGAACCTTTCGGGGAAGACAGCCTCACACAAGTGTGGAGTGAATCCATGAAAGGGTAACCAACTCCAAAGCAACCGCTTCGACTGGGGACATGTTTCCCGTTTGTGAAGCAAATCCATTAAAAATCAGAGCTGCTGTGAGCCACCAGGTCCCTTCTCTTTAGGATTCAAAATAAAAACAGTAAGTGGTGGTAACTCTTCCTCTGGCAACAAAATACAATTTATTCCAAAGGATGGGGGACAGAAATGCCCGTCCCTGGCAGGGCAGGGCGACCTGGAGGGGCTCCAAGTGAGGGACTGCTGGGGAGAGAAGGTGTGATGCGGCTGGCCCTGGGGACCTTGCGCTCTGCAGGGAGCCCGAGCTACTCAGTTCTCAGGGGTCCTCACCACCCCAGGCCCCCAAGCACCAGGTGGTCATGTTAATAATGGGCACATTTATAGCTTTTTTTTTGGTACTGGGACTCAAACTCAGGACCTTGTGCTTGCCAAGCAGGTGCTTGTGCTGTTGAGCTATACCCCCAGCCTATAGCTTCTTTATGTACATTGTTTTATGTACACTGTCCCCATGAGATAGGTTCAGTGGCTTTAGGTTCTAGGTCCAAATCAGAAATTATAGCGTACGTTGTCAGCAGGACTGGGTCCCCACAGCTGGTGGGACTCCAAATCTGCACCCTGCACCACAGCTGCATTTCTCTCTGTAGCCCTTCGTGATCCAGCTCAACTTGTTCCTTCTGGCCTAAAGGGTCTCCAACCGGAAGTGATACAGGCAGGTTCCCCATTTTTCTTTTCCTGACATCTACCCATATTCTGCTCTATTTTTTTGTTACTTAGGTACCAATATTTGAGTTTGTTAAAAAAGAAGAAGCGGGGGAGCAATCCCCTCTGCTGGGCTAGGAACAACCTGAAGGCAGGCACCAGGCAACCTCTGGGTGGGACTGAGCGACAAACAGGAGCCGGTGAGGGGACACGACGTGTGTGAAGCAACACAGCTGAACCCCAAGGCTGCCTAGCAGATGCGCTCTCTGGGAGAGGCCACCAGGCTGTATTGCTTTTAGCCTTCCTGCTGAAATGAAGACGTTCCTTCCGTAACAGGAAGAGTGCACACAGGCATGCGCGCGCACACACACACACACACACACACACACACACGCACGCACGCACTCGCCCCGCACGCCACATATACCGTGAAAGTCAGGGTTAAAGGCAACAGCCACTGCCACTTGCCAAGTAGAAGCTGACCATCCTGTTTCTGGAAGGGCTGTCCCAGAAGTTGAGGTAGCAGAGGATGTACACCGCCCCCACGAGCAGGTTGAAGAGCCTCCAGTGGCAGGTGCTGTCTATGATGTCACTCTGCTGGGCCACGAGCCAGAACGTCATCACCAGCCAGTGGGCACCTACAGAGAGACAGAGGCCGGCCCTGGAAGTCAGGGCCCAGCAGCGGGTGGGGAGGGGAGCGCAGGACACAGAAACTGGATCTAGGAGCCCTCATCCCTGCCTGGGCCTAGAAGAGACATCCAAACCCAGAAGAGGGAGATTCGTGGACACGCAAGAGCAGCCAGGCCTGTCTGCACAGAAACGTCATGATCTCATCTCCTGCAGGGTGTGTGACGTGTTTGGAGCGAGCCCAGAGACCAGCCCCACCAACACGGCTGGATATTACAGACCGATCTTTCTCCATTCCAAGAAACATCTGCAGAGGTCTTAAAACCGTCCAGTTCACTGTCTCTGAATTTTACTACATGAGCCAAAGCCTCCACACCCAAAGGGAAGGCTCCGCGCCGTCCAGCTTTAATTCTTTCCTGCATTTTAAGAGGAAAGACAGCCTTCTGGGGCTCAAGCTGAACGTTAAAGTGGATGACGATGACATAACTAATCTCTCTTTAGGAGCAGTTGTTTTTAAAAAATGGTCTTTTCTGCCAATAACTCTATTAAATGTTTGTCCGGGGCCCAAGGGGCAAATATTTCTCAATGTCTCTAGTTCTCTTAAAACAAGAATACACTGTTCCTTCCTGAGGGGCCCATTCACTGATGACCAGCGGAGACCACGGTCCTTGCCGGGGTCACATAAGCCGCTTCAGGAGTCTTCGGGGCCAGACCCTCTGTCATCACTGTGCAGACCTGTGCCTCTGGGCTAGGGGCTGTGGAGCCGTTCCCCCTGAAACCGGGACGGTGTCCCAGGTTCTGCATCCTAAGGGGCCGGAGCCCCCTTGGAGGCGGTGAGCAGAGCCACAGAGACACCGCGGGTTCAGGCACCGGGTCGGGTGGACGCTGCGGCTCCTTGCTGTCCCAGTGGCGGCTTTTCCACAGGAACAATCAGCTCGGCACAGAGCAGTCCCAGAGAACGCTATGCCTCAGTTACCAGGACTTCTGAGGCCGTGGCTGGCCTCTCCAAGTGCCCGGCACCACGGCCTCCTGCCCAGACGCTCACCCTTTTGGAGTCTGCCTGTGCCTGTGAGCCTGGGCTGCCTGTGCCCGTTTGACGGGCAGAACGCGGCAGAAGCTGCCCTGGCCAGTGTGGGCCTGCCTCTGAAGGTGGTCTTGGTTTCCTGTGCCCGCCTGGAAGTCTAGCTGCCCAGGGGAGCCCGGGCTGCTTGGCTGGAGCGAAGCTACGAGAGGAGCGCTGGGTGCCAGGTGTGAGTGCCGGTGCATCTTCGCGCTCAGGCCTCGCTGTGGCCAGGGCCCTGTGACCTTGCAGAGCCCAGCCAGCCGCAGCCCTGGGGCTGAGCACTGTGCACGGTCATTTTTAGCAAGTTCAGTTCTGGGGCGGTTTGGTACTCAGTAGATGACTGGAGCACAAGCACCACTTACCTCCGACCACCAAGACCCAAACTCGGTAAGCTCTGCCGAACAGAACCAGGCTCAGGACGCGGGTCCCCAACATGCCCATCCGCCAGAGCTGCTGGCAGAAGAGGGCCGCCCGTGGCACGGCCCGGCGGCCCGGCTTCATGTCGTCTAGGACACGGGTGTAGGACACGAGGGCCCAGGACAGCGAGGACCAGGACAGCAGCGCGCTGACCCCTGGAAAGGAATCAGATGGACAGCAGGGCCAAAGCATCGGGAGCAAAGGCCATCCCTGGCGTTTCCCTCTGGGACAGCGAAGCGCTTATGAGAACCTGGCCCGGGAAGTGCAACACGGTTCAGATTCCCTGCTGGGGATGACAACAGCTGTGCTTGCAAACACACGCGTCTACACAGGGGAAACGAAAGCCAGGGCAGCGAGCGAGGGTACCCGATTCCCTCGAGCCGGGACCTTGCACGGGGGGCTCTGCTGACCAGGGTGCGTGTTCTGCCCCCTCGGGAAGCTGCTCACCAGCCACAGCATCTGTGAAGCCCGACGCCAGAGAGATGTAGGTCTGCAGCAGCAGCTGGGGTCCGCTCTGCAGCAGGGCCTCCAGGAGCCGGAGCACCACCAGGTCGGCCTCCTGCAGCTGCAGGTGGCCCGGGCGAGATGCCTGCCGTCGTGTCCGCAGGGCGGCCAAGGTGTCCCAGTGCCTGCAGAGGAGAAAGGCAGCATGACGTGGACCCAGAGTGCGCAGGCCCTGCGGGGCTGCCCTTTCATCTGCAGAAATGAAGCAGCACCCGGGAGGGGCGCCTTGCGCATGCGTGTCACGGGGTCGCAGCTGGGGTGGCGCCGAGCCAACCGCAAGCTGAGGATGTGGGTTCTAAGGACCTGGTGTGCTCAGCTGGGACCGCCTGCGGCGCTCGCTCTCCGCCTCCTGGAGGGCTGAAGGCGAAGGGCTGGGGATCAGGACCCCGCGTGGAGTGGGATCTCTCTGAGCTGCTGCAGGGCAGGGGCCCAGGCCGAGAGCGCCGTGGGCGGGGATGAATTCCTCCCACAGGGGCTGGCTGCAAGTCCGGGATCAGCCGTTGCCTTAGAGCACAGCGACGAAAACCCATCTGGTCCTCCCGGACCACAGCACCCCGTGTGCCCTGGATCTGCGGCACGCGGACAGCAGGCCGGCAAGGAGAGGGCCCGGCTCCCCGCCGCAAGGAATCGGGGACAGCAGGCGCCGCAGCATCGCGAGCAAAGACCGTTCCTGGCGTCTGACCGCCAAACGGCCTGCGAGGTCCCAGGCCTTCCGCCGCCCAGCGCAGAGGGGTGACCTGGGCCCGTGCGGGGGAGCCCGCAGAGGGCTGGGGCGGGGAGGAGGGCGGGGCTTGGTCGCCAGGTGCTGGCGGCACCCCAGTCTCGGGCCGGCCAGGGCCCCAACCTCACGCGGGATCCACACCCCCCTTGTGGGTTTCTGTTGCTCCGCCTTCTGTCCAACGCTCGGCCCTCTCGGGGGCTCCGGCCTGCGGGCAGCACCCGAGCTCCCAGCCCAGGCTCGCATCCCTCGCCGCCGGCCGATCTCCGGAACGCTCTCCTGGGACCCGAGAACGTCTCCCGGTGTCCCCCGGGCTCTCGCTCCCGGCAGCGAGCTTGTGTTGGAGGTCAGGTCTGTGCTTGGGACACAGGTCAGGGCGCGGCCGGAGCGTCGGCTTCCTAAGAAGCTCCGGAGGACACAGAAGGCGCTGGGCCCGTCCTCTGGGCAAATCCGCCGGCCCCACCGCCTCCCCTGGTCATGCTGTTTGCCACGTGGTACCAGACCGCTCAGGGTCGCGTCTCCCCACCTTCAGGGCCTCCAGTCGTGAAGCCAACCAAGGGCTGGAGCGGTGTGGCGCTGAGGAGGCCCGGGCTCCTCGGGGCCTTGACAACCACACAGGCGATCAAGTAACCCAGCTCGGGGCTCTGGAGTCTCGGTTATCAGTACGGTCGGTCTTTCCTTACTAACAGCTCGAGTAACCCGCACTCCCTCATGCCCACAACTGGAGGACAGACTCCGCTCTTCCTTGAATACTTCCGGTGTCAGCGCCGAAACAGCCAACAATGCCGGGTTCTCACAAAGGCTTACGGTATTTCATGTGCCTCTATCTATCTGTCTGTCTATCTATCTATCTACCTACCTATCATCTATGTATGTATCAATCATCTGTCTATTTTGGGGCAGGGTCTCACTATGTAGTTCAGGCTGGCCTTGAACTCACTATGTAATCCAGGCTGGTCTCAAACTCCCAGTGATCCTCCTGCCTCAGCCATCTGAGTGCTGGGGTTACAGGTGTGCACCACCATGCCTGGCTCATGTGTTGTTTTTTCTTCTTGGTACCGGGAATCAAACTCAGGACCTTGCACTTGTCAGGCAGGCGCTTGTGTCATTGAGCTATATCCCCAGCCCATGTGCTTTTAAATAGTCAGTCTCCACCTATCTGTGCTGAGCTCATCTTGCATACCCTTAAAGTTTGCCTTGACTTTCCTTTGAGGAAAAATTATCCAATACTTGGAAGGCTGACACAGGAGGATCTCAAGTTCGAGCACAGCTTGGGCAATTCAGCAACCTAGAGAGAACTTGTATAGAAAATAAAAAAGGGCTGGGAATGCAGCACGAAGGCCCTGGGTTCAATGTCCAGTAACACACACACACACCCCTTTTAACTTCCACTAAAGAAAAATCGCTAAGCTGAGATGCACCGGGAGGTACTAGGTATTCTTCTATCACCTCGTGCTGAGTTCCCAAGTGGATTTACGGGCTCCAAAAAGAGTAAAAAGCTGTTACTAGCACACAGCACCAGCGTGGAAACAAAACTCCTACACAGAAAAACGGAACTGTGTCCCTTTAAACAAGTTGTCACTAACGGTTTCTCTTGAACAGTCTGATTTAAGATGAATACAGTTTATATTACTTGGAATTTTAAAAATATATGACTTTAAAACCTTACATTTTGAAGAACAGCTTTCGATCAAGAGGCCGGTTTCCTGATTTTCCTGGTTTTGGTGCATTCTTCCACATTTTCCGTGAACTCGTTCGGCGTGATCCATTCTCACGGCAACTCAGCGTCCTGCGAAACACAGTTGTTTGGGCGCCCCCTGCAGGCGCTTCCACCAAACGGCAATTTGGAAAACGGTTTGCTCTGCAACAGTTTGCCCGGCGTTTTTGTTCCAGAAGGAGGTGGAGTCACTGCATTCGGCTTTCACTTGCGGGCTTTGGGCTGTGGAGGCAGAGCTCTGCGCGCGCGTATTCGCCACAGACGCCGCAGCTCCTTGCACTGCGCAGGCTGTCCTGAAGCTAAAAGCCGAATGTGTGTCTTATTTCTGTAAGCTGCGCATTCTGGCTTTATCTTCTGTTCCAAAATTTTGTCCCCCTTTTTTTTTTCTGTTTCTTCTCACTTCTTTACTAGTTTTGATTTTAAATTTTTTGTCCTTTTAAACGATGTGTACAATTGTTTTGGTGGCCCTCACCTTTTTTTAAAAATTAGATCTACAGTATATGACCAGTCGGTTCTTTCTGATTTCCGATTTTCACATCTCTCTTCGCTTCTCCACACTGATTTTTAAGCGTATGCCAGGACATGGCTGGAGTCGAGTCTCCGGAGGCAGTCCCTGACAGCGATTCGGGAGGCCTCTCCCGCAGTTCCACGGATTAAGCCTTTCTGCTCTATTAGGCTTTGGCTTACAGGGAAGCTGGTGCTCTCCCTGCACATGCCGCCTATCTCGAGGCCCGATCCGGGTGACCACTGGGCCCGGGCCGTGTGCAGAGCCACAGCCCTTCCGGTTTTATCACAGAAGGGAAGGGCAGGTGATGCCGTTGGTACGGAGGCGGCCATGGGAAGCAGCTGCCCCGAGGGTGGTCTCCTGGGAGTCAGAGCTGGGCCTTTCTCAGGAGCAGGGCTGGGGCAACACGGTCTGCCTCATCCATGCTGGGGACACCACCAAGGCACCCCAGGAAACTCGAGTGGCTACTTGGTGTATTTCTTGGAAGCACCTTCTACCACCCTGACAGCGCCTTTGGGCAGGGCAGACGGGTCCCTGGGCCCCCTACCCGGCCTGGCCTCAGGCCCTCTGCTACTTGCTTCAGGGCCTCCAGAGAAGTGCTGTGAGCAGCCAGGGCACACCCCGGGGCAGACAGCAGCCCTTGGCAGAGCTCCCTGGACACCCTGGAATCCTGACTACGGTTTCACAAAGCTGGCTGCAGGCTTCCCCCACTGAAACCCCAGATTCTTGTCTTTAAAAAAATTCCCTTAAAAAAAAAAAAATTCCCTTCAACCCCACGGGCGGTGAGGTGGCTGGGGCTGGAATGTGCCCTTTGTGTGACCTCGGGGCCATGTGTCTTGTGACAATTCTCTGTGTCCAGGACTCCAGTGGAAAGGACACCACCTGGCCTGCAGAGGGGGCCCCGGGACTGTAGGTAAGCTGCAGCACGGGGCCACCCTGCTGTTTCTTGGGGGACAGAACTGGCCCTGGCTCGCAGATGACTTCTCTGAGACACAGGCTTGCGGCAGATGCCGCTGGACCCGTCTGTCCCATCAGCGCTAAGTCTCTGCCGCCTTCTCCAACTAAAGGTGACAGGTGTGTAAACAGAGCAACTGCCTGTACGTGGCTCCAGAGCTGAAGAACGGATGGAAAGAAAAGCCAACCAGAATGTGGCTGAAGACAACAAAAAGCTTTCGAAAGGCAGGGGTGCATCCGGAGGGCCTGGGTGTCGGCCATGTTCATGGAAGTGGGTGGGATGGAGGGGAGGCACTTCCTGGTCCCAGCGACCAGACGCCCACGCGCAGCGGGCGCCTCCCAGAGGCCCTGCTCTTACCGCTTCCAGACGCCCAGCTGCAGGACGTGCAGCACCACCAGCCAGCGCCCGCTCCGATGCCCGTCTGCCCGGAACCACAGGTAGCTCAGGCCCTGGACCAAGAGGCCAGGCAGGAGGACGGAGAGGGCCAGCCACGCCCAGAGGGTCTCTCCTGTGGCAAAGAAGTAAGCCACGGTGCAGAGGCCTGCGGAAGAAGGGAAGGGTCAGGAGAAGCACGGGGGAGGCTGGGCTCTGCGGTGCCCGGGCTGCCAGGCTGTCTGTGTGTGAGGCACTCTGACTCCTCCCAGGCTTTCTGGCTGGGAGAGAGGCCCTTCCCACGGCCGCCATTTCTCAGCAGAGCACAGGCAGTGCCAAGACGATGCCTGGGGGTACAAGCGAGCAGCCTGGAGCCACCCATGTCCGTGGCCCACACCGGCTGCAAGAGCTGCTTCCCAGAGGCCAGGCCGGGAGGCACGGGGTGACAACCACATCCCGGGGGAACCCCTCAAATCTTTGCCCTCTTGCCCTTCCTGCGGTGGAAGGCTCCAGGCTTCTGCCTCCTGACGACCTTGTGCAGTCCGTGTGGCCCTGCAGTGCCTGCCAGACCTCCTGACTGTGCCGCCTGTGGGGACATACACCTTGCTTCCCTGAGCCTGTCCTGGGTCCTTGTGTCACCCAACCTGATCAACTGTCTCATTAAAACCCAGAAACAGAACAACCGGATCAACAGCGTCTGAACCACCAAGACTCTGCCGGACCCAGCCGGGGCCAAAAGCTGCTGCTAGGGGACAGCAGGAGCGTGCTGGGCTTCCCACAAGGACTGCTGGCTGCTGAGATCAGCGCTCCTCAGGTTGGGGGCAAGACGGGGCGCACCCTTACCACTCATGCAGCACAATGTTAGCGAGAGCAGTTAGGTAAGAGAAAGAGAAAAGCAAAACTTATAGCAATGGAGGACGTCCAATGACCTCATTTGCTGATGACACGATTCTGTAGATAGAAAACCCTAAAGACTCCAAAAAAGACTGTTGGAGCTAATAAGTTCTGTAGGGGCAAGATAGAAAACTGATACCCGAGAATTAATCGCTTTTTTATATAGCATTAATGAACTCACCGAGAAAAAATCAGCACAGTCATCTCAGCTACCGTGTGTGCGCATGCGCACACATGTACACGTATACATACACACGCGTGTGCACGCACACACCCATGTAACATAATATCTAAGGATAAACCCAAGTGAAGATGTGGGAAGACTTCTACAAAGAAAATTACAGAACTCTAAAGACATCAAAGAAGACACCATAAAGTGGGAAGATCGCCCGCGTCCCTGAATCCGGACATTAATATTGTTAACACAGCTGGCGTGGCGGCACATACCAGCAATGCCAGCTACTCGGGAAGCTGACTCAGGAGGATTTCCAAGTTTGAAGTTAACGTGGGCAACTCAGGAAGACCCTGTCCCCAAATGAAATTTGGGGACCAGCTCAGTGGTAGACAGCACTTGCCTAGCATGCACCAGGCCCTGGATTCAGTCCCCAGTATTGGGAGCGGGTGTTAAAATAGCCGTACTACCCAACATGATCTACAGTCAATGCAACTTTCATCAAAATATCAACAACATTCTTCACAGAGCGAGAAAAACATAAAACTCACATAGAAGCACAAGGACCCGGAATACCCCCTGAATACCCACCGCAGTCCTGAGCGAAAAGATCATTGCTAGAGGCATCATAGTACCTGATTTCAAAATATACCATAGCACCGTGCTAACAAAAGCAGCATTGCACTGGCGCAAATGTCAATAGCCGAAACAGCTGTATCCTGACCAAAGCCAGTAGGCGCCCCCGAAATAAATCCATGCATCTTTGGCCCCGACTCCTGACACAGGTGCCAAAAACTACAACTCAGACTCCCATGTGCTGCAGGATCCCAGGCTGGACGCATGGCCGAAGCCCGGGCCCCCGGCACGTCCAAGGTGGAGTGTGGCACGATTCACACCAGCCGACATGCGGGACCAGCCTAGGTGCCCACCAGCAGAGGGGCGGACACGGAGTTCCCCAGCCACGGAGAACGGAGTTCCGTCATTCGCAGGAAGATGGGTGCAACCAGAGGACTTAAAGCCAGACACAGAAAGAGTTGTCACACGTGTTCTTTCCGACGTGGCAAATATAAAAAGAGGTCTAGGGGTGGAAGAGGCGCTACTGTTAGTGACCGGAGGAGGGGACAGGCGAGGGTGAGGGGCAGGGGCAGGGGCAGGGCAGACGCCACCGATGCACAATACGCGAGTGTATGGAAATATCACGGTAAAGTCCATGGAGGAAAATAAAGGCGCTGGTGGCTTGCCGATTGCACGTGTGAGCACCGCGCAGCGGGCTACGCTCGGACCCTGGAGGCCTCCAGCCCGGGAGGTTGGGTCCGGCGCGGGGAGCTTTCCAGGACTAACGCTTAAGAGGGGCTTAGGGCCCAGGCTTGGAGTCCAGCGGACCGCACTCCATCCGCCAGGCGCCGCTCGTCCTGTGCGTCCTCGGCGCCCGGCCGGGTGCCGGCAGCGAGTCCGCGCGGGCTGCGGGGACCGTGGCTTCGCTGGTCCCGGGGGCCCCTTTGGTGACTGTGATTTGAGCTTCTCGGCCTCGGTGTCTGGAGGGGACGCGTGGGCTGCGAACTGCGCGGAGCGCCGGGATGCATGCATAGCCCCGCCTCGGTCCGCTCG